TCATTCCAGAAGAACAATGCGATGCATGTATGTGAATTATCTTCGAAAGTCCTATCTCCCATAGAGGCCCATGAGCTTCATGACATCGTTACTAAATGAAATTGTGCTTAGTTCTGGCTTCTCGGGTATGAATTCCCAGCGACACTGTTTGTTCTCACAACCGAGGCGATTTACGTGGTCACCACGGCCAAGAAAGGTGATTAGCGATTCATGAACTTTTGCGCGCCCTATAGCTGATTAAACCAAATTTAAGCGAAACACCTTGAGCCGCTGAAAGAAGGAAAGATTCCCGTCGAGATTCTGGTCACTACCAAAGACCCAGAATCAAAGACCAAAGCATTTGAGAAATGCCTGGACGTTGTCAAGGGCGCAGGGGTGAGCTAAAATAATCTTTGGATCACTAGGTTGATTTTCCACTAACCACGACAACTGCAGAACAAAGTCGGTACCTTGCCCAAAAACACCGCTTCGGGACCCTTTGCGGATGAATGGAAACGCACATTTGCGGAACTATCGAAAGAAGTGGAGGAAGTTGACGTAGCACCTGCACTCTCGGCTGCTTTTGCAGTTAAAGATTCCGATGAATTGGTTGGTTTATCTATAACAGTGTGTTTAACAAGTGAAATGTTTGCTGATACAGCCTCAAAAGGTTTCAATCCGCAATGCTTCCAGAGCTTGCAGTGGCCTTATGTCAGAGTACTTTGTCGATGAGATGTCACGTTTGCTCGACGAAGAAAAGAAGATGACACATAAGGCCCTTGCTGCAAAGGTTGATGCAAAGATTGACGATGGGAAATTTTTCAACAAGCTGGCGCGGCTGCCCTCGGAATTTGATTCTCAGCAAATCGACTGGGCCTACGGGCCTGTTATTCAAAGTGGAGGCGCCTACGATCTCAAGCTCACAGCGACCCCCGACAGTAAAAACCTTGAACCCGGCATCATTTTGTCTAGTTTTGGAATCCGATACAAGACTTACAGTTCGCTCATTGGGCGTACTTATTTGGTTGACCCAACCAAATCACAAGAAGCAAACTATGCCCTGCTGCTAAGCCTCCATGAAGCAACCATGAAAGAGGTTCGAGATGGTGTGGTGGCTAAGGATGTTTACAACAAAGCGCTGAGCCTCGTCCGTTCTAAGAAGCCTGAGCTGGAGGGACACTTTGTCAAGAACGTTGGCGCCGGGATTGGAATCGAGCTTAGGGATGCTAACATGGTCCTTAATGCCAAGAACAACCGCGTCTTGAAAAACGGCATGACGCTGTCTATCACGGTTGGGCTGACTGATGTGAAGGATCCGGACTCGAAGAATGCCAAGAATGGTAGCTATTCTATGGTCATCACCGATACTGTTCGTGTCGGGGAAAGTGGGCCTCACATTTTCACCAAAGACGCCGGTATTGACATGGACTCGATCTCGTTTTATTTCGGTGATGAGGAAGAACCGGAGAAGCCTGTGAAGGAGAAAAAGGAGACGAAGTCTAGCGCGACTACTGGTAGAAACGTTACAAGAACCAAGCTTCGTGCTGAAAGACCCACTCAAGTCAATGAGGGAGCCGAAGCCCGCCGTCGAGAGCATCAGAAAGAGCTGGCTGCGAAAAAGACAAAGGAAGGCTTGGACCGGTTCACCGGTACGACAGGAGACGACAACGGGGTGGCACAGAAGAAATTCAAGCGCTTTGAGTCTTACAAGCGCGACAACCAACTCCCTGCTAAGGTCAAAGACCTTACAGTTTACGTCGATCTAAAGACTTCAACGGTGATTGTGCCTATCATGGGCCGACCTGTTCCCTTTCATATCAACACCATAAAGAACGCCAGCAAGAGCGACGAAGGAGAATATGCCTACCTACGCATCAACTTCTTGTCTCCGGGTCAGGGTGTGGGTCGAAAGGATGACCAGCCCTTTGAGGACTTGTCAGCTCATTTTGTTCGCAACCTCACCCTCCGGTCCAAGGATAATGACCGCCTCGCACGAGTCGCCCAGGATATCACCGAACTTCGCAAGACGGCATTGAGACGAGAGCAGGAGAAAAAGGAGTTGGAAGATGTTGTTGAGCAGGATAAGCTGGTTGAAATTAGAAACCGGCGTCCAGTGAAACTCCCCGACGTCTACCTCCGACCTCCTTTGGATGGCAAGCGTGTTCCGGGAGAAGTCGAAATCCACCAGAATGGTCTTCGGTATCTATCGCCCTTCCGTAATGAACATGTCGACGTGCTGTTCAGCAACGTGAAGCATCTGTTCTTCCAACCATGTGCCCATGAATTGATCGTTCTGATCCATGTGCATCTCAAGACGCCCATCATGATTGGAAAGCGAAAGACGAAGGATATTCAATTCTATCGCGAGGCTACTGAAATGCAATTTGATGAAACTGGAAACCGACGGCGCAAACACCGCTACGGAGACGAGGAAGAATTCGAAGCCGAACAGGAGGAAAGACGGCGGAGAGCTGCGTTGGACCGCGAGTTCAAGGCCTTTGCCGAGAAGATTGCGGACGCTGGCAAGGATGAGGGCGTCGATGTCGATATCCCATTCAGGGAAATTGGATTTACCGGTGTTCCAAACCGATCCAATGTCTTGATTCAACCGACCACAGATGCCCTAGTTCAGCTCACTGAACCTCCTTTCACAACCGTCACGTTGAATGAAATCGAGATTGCCCATCTAGAGAGAGTTCAGGTACTGTTTCCCGCTTACTACCATTTTGTCGGGCTGGTTTACTAACTTGTGCGCAGTTTGGACTGAAAAACTTCGACATGGTCTTCGTTTTTAAGGATTTCCGCCGGACTCCTGTTCATATCAACACGATTCCTGTTGAGGCACTGGAGGGTGTTAAGGACTGGCTTGATTCTGTTGATATTGCATTCACCGAGGGTCCGCTCAACCTGAATTGGACCACGATCATGAAAACAGTCGTCAGCGATCCGTACGGCTTCTTTGCCGACGGAGGGTGGTCTTTCCTATCAGCCGAGTCAGACTCTGAGAACGGTTCAGATGAGGAGGAGGAGTCGGCTTTCGAGTTGTCCGATTCGGAGCTTGCAGCCGGGGACGAGAGTTCCGAGGAAGACAGCGAATTTGATGATGACGCGAGTGCCGATGCTAGCGAGGAAGACTTCAGCGGTGACGAGGAGAGTGGAGAGGACTGGGACGCGCTTGAGGAAAAGGCAAAACGTAAAGACAAGGAAACCGACCATGAAGACAATGACCGCGGGATCAAGCGCAAACGCTAATCGACCATTTTGTTGCCACTGGGGCCTCAAATGACTTTTTTTTTTCTTGCTTCCTTTCTTGCACTTTGTGTTCCAATCTATGGGCAAACTGAATTGGGCCACTTACGCCTTGCATCTCTCTTGATTGGCCTTCCATGGCCTTTCCAATGCTTTCAAATGCTTGTACGATTTGACTCGAGCGAGCCCCCGGTGGACGGGAAATCAGAAAAAAAAAACACATTTATGGTGTTAATCGGGAGGAAACTAGTCTTTTAACGTCCCTTAACTGTACTGTATCCAAATATTCACGCATGATATTCGTTCAAGGTTTCTTTAGACAGGTAACATTTCTCTAAATGGCAGCAACGGACTAGCCTAGCCGGCTGGCTTCAATTCGTGTGTACATTATAGCTTCGAACGGACTCCATACAGAGCTTTCATTGGACTTGTTGCCAGTCCATGTCGCACTATTTCCCTTCACGCATTGATGCCCACATATTCCGCATGCGCTCTCCTTGTCCAGGTGTGAAGCTCTCATAGCATACATCAGATGAATAATCCATAAAGTCGTGGACCGCGTCCAGGCCAGGAGAGTCCGGACAAGAATCCTTCTGGGCAGGGCACCCATCTGTCGGGGTGGACTGCTGTGGCGTGTCACTTATGTGGTCACCAGGATCATCCACTGAGCAAGATTCCCCTTGGAATGTGTGCAAAAGGCCATTCCAGTGTCCAATTTCGTGAATGGCAGTTCCACCTCGATTGTAAAGATCCAAGGAGCCACCGGGCATTGTTTTGGCCAAAACATTGCAGCCATCCTTGACATAGTGTGAAGGCGGGCTAGTAGCATTGACGCTCGAATCAGGCAAGGTACAGAATCCAAGAACGCTCGATGCCAGGTCATTGTTGGTGGCTGCGCCCCTATACCCGAAAGCGCGTCCTGCTTGTCCAGGCGAGGCTTGGAGATCGGTCTGGAAGTAAACGTTCAATGTCCGGTAGCTTCCTTTCCGAAGGGAAGCTTTCATTGCCACATCATCCGCATTACTTGCCCACTTATCATTGACATGACGAGTCACACCTTGCAATCGATAGGAGATGCCAGAGTCTGCATAAGATTGTTGTAGGATAGAAAACTGTGGAATAAATCAGCACTTGAGATACCAGATGAAACAGCAGCAAACCTACTTGAGAATTGATCATATCATCAGTGACCTGGCTGGACTCCGACTTGCTGCTGACGATATGGAACCAGGTCTCAATCTCGATTGGGGCCTTTCTGGCCTGCGAAATAGCAGGATTGGCTTCATCCGACTTGAGACGCCCTAGTGCATGCAAGAAATCCGCACTGGGGTCTTCAGTAGCACAGGCGCCTCTCTTCTGGAGGGCAAAGGGACTGCACCGAACCTGCATAAAAAGAGTGACAAGTACGACGAGTTGGAAAAATGAGTGACAGACCATGGTGTTAAGAAGCCCTGGTTTTGATTCCCCCTTCACACCTGTTCCAAAAGAGAGTAAAAACAAAAGGAACAAAGAGTCAAGAAAAGAACCATCTTGAATTTGACCAGTATAGGGGAGGGTAGGTTATCATATAACCTGTTCAATTCCATAAAGAATGCTGCGTCATGCGGGAATGCATGTGAGCAAGGGGTACAAGCATGTAAAGGATCGGAGAAAATAAAACGAATTGGGATGTCAAAAATTTGATGAGGTCATTGAACACAAGGATTATTTACATTGGCATAGTGAAACAGAAAGAAAACGCCAAAAAAAGGGGGGGGGGGGAAGAAAAGGTCTCAAGGGGCATTATCCCGTCCCGTGGCGATGGCAGCGCTCGGTTGATTGGAATCCCAAGTAAGATAGGTGTGGTCGCCAAGTTTTCTAGTAAGAGGTTAGTCGTTTGGAACTTCGATTCAAAAAAAGAAAAGAAAAGAAAAGAAAAAAGATCATACCTCGGACGCACCAAGTGCGCAACAGTAAACAAAGCCCCGAGAACAACGCAAATTCCACCCACAACCACATAGGCGATTCCCATGAAGGGATTCTTGCCTCCAAGCACTGTTCGGGTAGAGATCAGGATCGACTTGGTTCCATCGTATTCGGTGACATTGAAACCTAAACAGTTTAGTCAAATGTGTGTACAAGAGGTGGTAAGTATAACACATACGATCAATAATCTCGATGGAATATTTGGCAGCAGGCATGCCGTGAGTATCGTTACGGCGGGAAAGCTTGCTGAACGATGGCAAACCAGCCGTTCTCATCCAAACCATGAAAGCTTCATTTTCATGTAAATTGGGATTCTCTTTATAGACACCGTTCTCGCTGGCCCAGACCCAGTTTGGTGGCGGCAGTACGTCATCCATATTGTACTTCGTGTTTTTGATGAGTTTCTTGTCACTGTCCCACGCAATGCCTTTGGTGGTCATTTCATAATACTGTTTTTCATTCTCGGATGCATTCGGATCTAGGATTTGCGGTCTCCCAATCGTGTCGTTGAAGAACGAGTTTGCAATCAGTCCACATGGATAGTATACCTTCTCTGCCGTGGTGTTGACCGCTAATGGGTCACATGTGCCACCCTTGATGGTATTGTAGGAGACAGCATCTCCTTTCAGCTGATTTAAATCAAGGGACTGGACATATCGGCGGTGGTTTTGATAGAAGTTGGTGAGGCGGTAATACATGAAAACCGGTGCTGGAAGCTCATTCGGAACCTCGAAAAGAAGAGTGCAAGTAACGGCGCCCGAGTCAGACTCATTGACGGACTTGCGCCAGGTGGGCGCCGATATGGCTTTAGAAGACTTGAAGGTCGCCGAATAATGAGGAACGGAAGCATAGCTGTCGGTCGGTGCCTGTCTAGAGCAGTCGGAGTAATCGATGGAAATTTCTTGGACCTAGAGCACATGGCTCGTCAGAGCTGTTCTGTCAGGGGAGGTATGAAACTAGGCATACTAGAGAGCTTGCCCAGAGGAGAACACCGCCAATCGGGGCAAAGATAACGCCGACGATGAAAAACAGAGGTAGAACGCTTTTAGGGGTTAGGATCGGTCTAGTGGAAGGTTAGCAGGGTAGTCCTAGGGCAGATACAGGAATCTCAAGCTCACTGCCATGCTTTCAATCTTTGTTGGCGGAAAGCAGTATCTGGTACGAACGGGTTAGTTGGGAACAAAGGGTTAATGAGATCCCAGGGACCTACTGGCTGGTCGACGAGACTTTGACTTCTTGTCGCCATCCTCCCTTGCACGCTGCTGTTCCTCGATGGACTCAGCACGAGTCACCTCCTGAGACATGGTTGACCAAGATGATGAGAAGAAATTGGATGGTCCAGATTCGAGTGAAGCGGAAGATGATACAAGGGATACGTCAAAAAAAAAGGTGGCACCGGGGCCCCGAGGCTGCCGGATTACGATTGCGCCCCACCGCTTTATTTTTGGTTTTAATTACAAACTATATATGTTGTACATACTAATATCATACTAATAATTAAAACATTGGTATATATGTATAGTATTATATATTGTTTAAATCAGTTACATTTAGCTCAATTTCATATCAATTTCATATCAATTCATTGTGATGTAGGAAAACCATATCTGGTCAGGGTATCAAGCCTTATCCTATGTGCTATTGCCTTTCTGAAACGAAAGGGGGGGGAGGATCATCAAGCAATAAAATTCAATCGCAATAGAGGAACGAAATGGAAAAAAAAAAAAACACCTGTGGCTAATCAAGCCTGCCATTCTAGACTAAAGCGAAACGGAATTGAAGCACCCAGACGCCATAGCCAGCAGCCAAAGTCGAAAAGAATCAAAGCCCGTGGGGTGTCTGTATGCAAGAAAAGAGAAGAAAACCAAGAAAGGGGGAATCTCAAAAGAAAAACAAGAAAAAAGAGAGCATGTGTCATGAGGGGTCGTAAAAGCGAAATAGCAAAAGAAACCGAAAGGCCAAGAGGTAAGATGGGTTGATCCAGGGAACACCCATACATTGGGTCTTGGTCAGGTGCAGAGAGCTGAGAACACTCAAATCTGGATTAATAGTAGAGGGCTGTATTGCACAGTGATAAGACACTGGGGTGGAGAGGTCAGTTATTGGAAACGGTGTCTTTATTGGCTCAGCCTGTGATGGGAGGCGACACACACGGGGCTGTGATGAACTGGCGGCATCATTATCACGGTATCATCAATACACGTGGCCTGGGATATCATGCTAGATATTGATGGAAATATTCAGCTTTAAACCAACCCACACGTTCGTAAGCGGTCCAAAGTTTGCTGGCTTTGTTGACATCGATCTTGCAAGCCTGCTGGGCATCTGTCTTGCGAAATTCTTTGCCAACACCAAGAGCTCGAACCCGAGCTTCAAAAATTCGACGCTTGCTGCATAGATAGGTCGCACAGGAAAGTCTCAGGGTGGAGGCAAGATTGAGCTCGGCGGGACTGAGAATATTTCTGTCCGGGTCATTGCTCAAATCCAACATCTGCCCCTTCCAATCAGCCTTCAATGCTTTGGCATTATTGCCTAGCGTATCTGCCGGGGGCGAATAGTCCTTGAGTGAGTGATAATCCGTGTCATCGCGATTGGTACCCAAGGCACGCGGTTTGGTAAGCGGGGTTTGGGGGGGATCAAAGTTGTCAAACACCTGCTGCTTGGGTGTAGATTTAGGGGTGCGTTTGACCCGGGTTCGCTGCACGCGCGGCTGAGTTCCTGATCTTTTCACTGGCGCAGGAGCAATCTTCTTCAACTTGGGTTCGTAATCTCCTGAGCGATAGCGGTTCATCATGGCCATCTGGCGCTCAAGCGTCTCCCGTTCCTCTCGGGCCCAGGCGCCCGGATTGCGATTGTACTGGGTTGAAACAATAGGAACACAGGAGAGTGCGAGGAGATATTCATCTCGTGTGGGTTTGTTCAACTTATTGCGAAATATTGCCATATGAGAATTCATGTGCTCTTCGACAAGTGCCTCTGCAGATGGAGGGTGAACGGGGCCAAACAACGGCTCATCCGTAGCAACGTCAGTAACGGAGTCCTGAGGGGGGAAAAGAACAGGGTCCCTAGGAGATCCCAAATCCCTTTCAATTTGGTCCGAGGCGTGGGAATTGCTCTTCTTGTTCCCCGTATAGGGAGTCACAGGTGGCGATGGGAGGTCCATCTCTGACTGGGTTCGTTTTCGATCAGCTGAGATGGGTGGAAGCTGTATGTCACGAGTTGAAGAGTCTCGCGGCTTTGCAAACGGTGAAAGCGAGACAGGAAAGCTCTCGAGAGGCTTGGTCTCTGGGGGTGACATCAGGCTAGAAACGGATGGGAGGCGATGCATAGTGGTCGGCTGTTTGGCTTGCTGCCAGCCAGTAGACGAAGTCATTCCAGATTAATTACCGTTGATCCAACGATAATTGGCAAATAAGAGGTTAAAGTGGTCAATGGTGTCCAGGACTAGAGTTTCCGGAAGGAGAAGGGGAGGGGATGAATACACCAGGAAGAGTGGGAAGATGGATGGCGAAAGCTGATGAGCGAGTGTTTATGGAAGTCAATGGAAATTGAATCACCAGGCAAAAACAGGTGATTTGTCAGGTCTGCCTCTTTGTCTCTGAGTGGCGATAAGCCAATATGACCTAAGTCTCGGCGTTAAGGCTCCAATGGCCGAATGAGTCAATTTGATGAAGAGGGTAATGGTCCATCGATAGAGAATGGACCAAATGAAAATGGAGATAAAGTTGAAAGAGCAGAGAAGAGAGAAGAGAGGAAGAGAAGAGGGAAAGGGAAAAAAGAAAAAGGAAATGTTGGAAAGCGAACTGTGAGTCAGTATGGGGCTGAGGGTGTGATGATAAACTGCGGGGTGGCGCTTAATGGAGATTCCGAGTTTCTCCAAGGCTCATGAGACCAATGGACTGACATTAAAGGGGTTAGTTTGGTTTTCGTTGGGAGAGTATCAGAGCGCAAAAGGGGGGGGGAAGAGGGAGGGGTGTTTGGGCGTCATTTGAACAGAGAACCAGCTGATCTCATCATTTGGTACGTACTCCGTACTTACTTCGTTTTCTTAAGGTAATGATACATACAAAAGTAATTTTGGTACTTTAGGTCGATATATAATCCCCCTACATTGTTGAAGTAAATATACTCAATCTCTACTAGTACCGAAATGTAACTTTATGGTAACTTTCGGATTTAAACCTCTGGCCATCTTATTTCCTGCCTAAGTCCACATGTGACAACATCCCATGCGGGCAATCACCTAATAGGATCGGCCGCAGGAGAGGTTAGCCAATCATTTTATAGCATTGACCCCTGTCCCATGTGATCAATCGTCCTTATCTTTGATTTGCTTTCTTTCCCTCTTGCTCTGCTTTTCTCCCTTACAAAAGCTAACTTCTTTGAGGGGGGATTCACCTGAGCAATTTTGAATATAATTGAATAGTATTTAGTGACGAGTGACGAGTGAGGAGGCTTGGGGGACTTGGATCTGACTCATCTGTATTCCTTCTTTGGTTGGCACCTTGAGTCATAGCTACGGCTGCCTGCGCTAGGCGCCTAGAATATTTCCTTTGATCCGTATAGGAGTGATGTCATCATACACTACGGGTCCATACAATCTAACATCGGCAGAGCCGCTCTTGTGATTCCAAGGTTTTCATTATCAGCCACGCGTAGGCAGCCTTTCTGTGGGGCCAGGAACAATGCATCCATTGCTTTCTTGGCAAGGCGGGGCCATGAATCCCACTTGTTTGAATATGCTACTAGCTATATACAACATAGTTGATACGATCATGGGTAATAAACTTAGAGAATATGAAACACCATGAAACCACCCCCCCCCCTCCCCAGCATTTGTTACAAGATCATGTGACTGGAGGAGATTCAAATCCCCTACAATCATGGCATCATAATAAACCCCCTATAAACCTATAATTTTCCCTTGAAATGTAACTGGATTACGACTTATTGTTGAGCAATGCGGACAATGGTTAACTAATCCTGGATCCTGACAGAGTGTAGATCAAAAAATGGAGTGTAACTTCTACTACTCCACCCTCCCAATTTGTCCAGGGGATCGCTAGATCGACATACCCCCCTCCCCCGCCTAGACCTAGCTTTATACCTCCCCGCGAGGCAGAATCTCAGAACCTGCACCGTACCTCAAGAGGTGTAGACTTTCGCCCCTTGATCAACCCTAAGGGTCGGAAGAGTCAGTAGAGGGTAGAACGCGACATTGCAGATAGACGGGCAGGTGGGCATGCCTATAGACGGGCACCACCCTATACGCCCACAGGCGACAGGTGTTACCAGCCAGTTCTTTAACAAAAGGAGTGGATTTCAACTAGGAAACTAAGTACAGAGTAAGAGAAAGGAAGCAAAAGATCCTCTACGGCAGGATCCTTTATAGGTCCTACTAGAGGTCTGCATAACCCATAAAGCCCATAGCCCAACCCAACCCAACCCACTAATGGGTCGGGGTTTGGGCCCACCCTTCGAGCCCATTGGGGCCCCCATTATTAACCAAACAATACAAACATGCCAATTTATCGCAGCTGTATAATTAATGCATTTTTTTCCTATTTTTGGGGGGTATTAAAATTACCGTTTAAGCCGTATATGAAGCTATATATAAATCACTTATAAATTAACTAATAGGGCTGATTGATTTGATTTTATAAGATATTAAGTAATATATACTAGGAGGCCGAAAAATAAGAATCAAAATTCATTTTTATAAAGCTTTACTTTTTTATAAGAGGTATTTATTTTTATTAGGGGTTTACATAGTAAGTAGAGGTACTATAAGTGTTACTACAATTGACCATAGAAAGTAGTATTAGTCCTCTATAGATAATATATGTCTCTTTATACTAATACTTAGTAATTCCTTCTAGGCACGAATTCATGGTCAAATTGGAGATTTTTAGGGTTATTTTATATGAAATCTAGCATCATAATGCTAAAATCAGTATAAAATCTATTTAATTCCTACTTCTTACTTCTTACTATGATAATATAATATAATAATACTAAAGATATAGGTTAGTACCTGCTAAAATACAGTCATTAATCATCTACTTTATATATGCCAAGACTATATTTGTGCACAGAGATAGGCTTTTGATAGGCTTTAATGGGCTAGGCCGATTGATAGGCTATGTGTTACGGACCTACCCGTCACCAATCAGTAGTAACCCACCAGGCACACCAATAGGCCATCAAGAGCTAACCAGCAACCAACCAGCAGCCAACCAGCAAGATCTATCATCAGGTCACATACAGCATCCTATACGCTAGAAGCCCTAGGTATTTAGGAAAA